AATGGGAGTGGTTGAACCAGCTGATTCTCAAGGGTCCTTCCAGCCCTTAACTGTATAAGCTTATGATCATGCAGGGGTCTCATTTTTTAACCAAGGATCTCCTGGTACTTGGGCAGATAGGATGAAATATACTCCCATTTGGACAGACGATCCAGCTGGGACTCAATGATCCTTTACCTATTACACTGTTCATGTGTGGAAGACCCAGAAACTGTCTTGGGTAATCTGGTGTTGGAGGAATTGAGCCAAACTGTGACTAACTTGAAGAGCATACTGCCAGTGAGGAAATCACTAGATAGTAAATTCAAAGGAAAGGTGAAATGAAGAGTCTTTAATATCACATGCATCTCCGAGGTGGGGGCCAGTTTGGCAGCTAGTGCCTGGGCAGGGACCTTGGAGGTAGAGGAGATGGGAAACCAGCTACCGTAAAATTTGTTAGTCAAAGGTGCCGTTAACTTCGTTCACAGTATTTACTCACTCAGAAATCATTTACCGCATGCTAACTGCATGCCCATAAAACTAAAGGACTAAAAAGGCAATCTTCAACGTTTATTTTTTTCAACGTTTATTTATTTTTGGGACAGAGAGAGACAGAGCATGAACGGGGGAGGGTCAGAGAGAGAGGGAGACACAGAATCGGAAACAGGCTCCAGGCTCTGAGCCATCAGCCCAGAGCCCGACGCGGGGCTCGAACTCACGGACCGTGAGATCGTGACCTGGCCGAAGTCGGACGCTCAACCGACTGCGCCACCCAGGCGCCCCTAAAAAGGCAGTCTTGAGTCATCATAGTGATACCTCTTATAGTTATCACATCTATCACCTTCTTTTCCTGGCTGTAGTTTACTAGTTCCCACTCTGAAAACTTAGAGAAACTGGGAAACTGGCATTCTTTCCCGACTCCCACCTTCCCATCCTGCCTTCCTTCTTTTCTGTACTTACTGACCACCTACTATTAACCTGGGACTGTCTAAAGTACTGGGATCCACAGATGATAAAGGCTGGATCCCACCTTGGGGAAGCTGAGTACTGCAGGGAAGATTTCTTGTCAACTTGTTAAAATACATTAGGATAGGGGCACCTGGGTGGCTCAGTTGGTTAAGCGTCCGACTTCAGCTCAGGTCATGATCTCGCGGTCCGTGAGTTCGAGCCCTGCTTTGGGCTCTGGGCTGATGGCTCAGAGCCTGGAGCCTGCTTCTGATTCTGTGTCTCCCTCTCTCTCTGCCCCTCCCCCGTTCATGCTCTGTCTCTCCCTGTCTCAAAAATAAATAAACGTTAAAAAAAATTAAAAAAAAAAATACAGCAGGATAGGAGCCATTCTTGAGCGTGGACATGGTAATGTGAACTCAAGTTGCCCATTAAAAAAAATATTCGCAACTAGATAACTCAGTATGAGTCCACAGGGTCACTGGCAGAACAAGGATGCGCTTCTTAGGGCCTGTCTCCAGGTCAACACACACCGCTCCCACACCAGCCTTAGCTACGCTTGGCGATTACATCCTCACTGTCACTTATCACCTGCATGTTTGGGCACAGGAGTTCACTCAAAATAGGACTGTGGTTTCTCCTCAAAGAATAACATCCCTTCAGAACCTGTGTTATCCTTTTTATTCTAGAATTGCTTGGGAATCAAGGAGGGAAGGAAAAAGAAGGGGTCTCCAGCTCTGACCTTTATGATGATTGGAAGATCCCACTCCAATCCTGGTGCCACGCCTTTCATTACAATAACAAGGTCTCATTTCCTAGAGCACTCAGTTTAGCTCTCATAGATTCTTAGGCCTTTCCAGTTGTCTGACATTTAATACCATGAGGCAGTGGGGTGCGGTGGGGAGACATATAACATATAAACACCAGACTCTTGAGGGCTTGACATTCTGTTATTTACACATAAGCAAATACCTATGGGGGTCTATCACAACCCAGGCACCAGGCCAGGTGCTAAGTACACAAAACTGAATAAGATACTCTGTGCGCTTTTCCACATCACAATTTAATGCGGAAAGCTGCAAACAGCAAAATAATTCCAGGGAAACCATCTTTGTATCAAGAAGGCCTTTTGCTTTCCCTCGAATCACGCTTCAAGGGCAATGCTGGCTCTATTACTTGCTACTTGTACGACCCCGGACAGGCTTCCTAAGGGCCTGGGGCCCAGTTTCCTCATCCTGAGATGAGAGCAGGGGATAACAAGTTCCCCGAGTTCCCTTACAGCTCTGAGGAGAGGACTGAGCAGCTCTTGAAGGAGGTACTGGATGGGATTTTGAGTTGGAAAGAGGACCGGGGTGCCCTTAGGAGAGAGAACTGCATGAAGGAAGCATGGCCACAGACATGAATAAGGCATACCAAAAGGTGAAATTAAAGCAAATGAGGTATTAATACCTCTGCCTGCTTTCTCCCTTGAACCTTCCAGTCTACTCGTAATTAGCAGCCGGAGCAACACATTAAACTGTAGGTCAGATTACAGCCACCCTTCTGCTCAAAACCTCCAGTGGCTTTACATGTCATTTGGGAAAAATCCCAAGTCTTTACCAAGACCTATAAGGCCCAAATGATCTGCATTCTCCCAACCTCCCTTTCTGGCCTCTTTCCTCACTACCACCCCCCCTTACCTTGCTCGGCCTGGACACACCGGTCTCCTCACAAGTCCTCAACCCTTATTACCATCTAACATATTCTACTTAATTTATTTGCCCCTCCTCTACAACATAAGCATCATAGGAGCAGAGAATTTCATTTTATTCTGTACCTCTCAAGCCTAGAATGTGGATGGCTAGTAACGCACTTGTTGAATGAGTTTCCCCAGTTTACAGGTAAGGAAACTAAGATCCAAAGAAGGAAAGTGAGTGAGGTCCATCTGCCCCTTAGAGGGAGAGTGTGGACTGGTAACAAGGACCCCCTTGTAGACAGAAAGATGGGCTTCAGCTCTGCCTACATCCTACTGCCCAGAAATATGGCAGAAGGCACTGGGCAGATGAGATGACACTAAGAATCTTGACATGGGGAGATGATCCTTCTGATTATTGACTTAACTTCTGTGACATCCCTTCCTTTGGTCTCTTCAACTCGATTAGATTTACTTGTTTACTCCTTTATGAATTCACTTAACCAACATTCACTGTATATAGTGATATGGTCCCTTTTAGCAAAGGAAAAAGGATATGAAAGGGGAACATTTACATCTTTATGTCATTTTTTTAAAAAGCAGTGGGATTAAGTGTGTCTGTTATATTTTACTTTAATTTGAGGATTCCCAGTGTTTTTTTTTTTAATTTTAAAAATAGAAACAAATATTTTCTGAGCATTACTCTGAACCAGGCATTATGGCAGACACTAGAGATAAAAGCAAATTCCTGAACTCCACACACTTAGAGCTTAATAGGGGTGACAAGCAAACAGAGGGTTGCTCCACTGAAAACCAGTGCCACCAGAGAGGAGTGAGGGCTCTGGTGGAGGCCCAGAGTGGGTATCTGACCCTGCCTGGAAGATGGTATTAGTGAGGAGGGGACTGTGAGTAGAGAATCCCAAAACTAACATCTCAGTAGAGTGGTTTGATCATTACCAAGGTTTGGGCCCTTTGGGCTTGCCTGTCCCTGGCCACTGGTGTTTTGCTAAACAGAGCCAGTTGTTCTGTGGATGCCTTTCCCCCCAGGCCAGTGTCTGCCCCCGGTCCCTTCACTCACTGCATCCCACGCCTTGGTATGACACAGCATTTCAGACGTTTCCCAGGAATCTATTGGGAGCCAGTATCCTGCGCAGCTCACGAGGAGTCAAGGCCATGATGAGATAAGGGAGGGGCTAATGATGAACACGGACGAAGCCCAGGGGTAAATATGCAAGCTTTCCTCTGCTTTCCCCCAGAGAGGATGCTTGCACACTACTTCCTATAATTCAAACAGTATGTTTCTCCTTAACATCCCATGAAGATGCGGTGGCTATCTATTGTCAAGCCACACGAGACATGTTCTTCTCCCAAGATGGGGTTAGCACCCTTCCTGATGCTCCCATATTCCACAGGGTCTGTCATCCCCTGTCCCATCTCCTGTCTGTGTTCTCCATGGACGCCTCAGATCCTTCTAGAGCAGCAACTAGTCCTGCTTGAGGTTGCATGGGACATGCCCTGCACACAGAGTGTGCTTAATAAATCATTGCTTCATTGAATTGAATGGTATCATACAACGTAGGCACTACTTTGGGCAAAGTTTGACATATCTGAAGTCAAACTCTCGTTTCGGAAGGCTGGAAAATGGTTTTCAATTTTAATGGATTATTTCTAAGGAAAAAACAAAAAAATGTTCTGGCAGTTCTCAAATAAATACTGGCCAATGACATTTCAGCCTGATTTGACAGGCTGAGCAGGGATACAGGTTGAGTACATAACAAAAACCATACTTGAGTTGCCCTCATACTTGTGGTTGTGTATGAGGAAGAGCACAGGATATAGGAGGGAAAAATGCTTTGAAAACTCTAAAGTGGGCTGCAGATGTTAGTTTTGCTCTCACAGAACTGTAGTAGAGACTGCCCATGCGCTCAGTCCCTTGCAGACTGAAGCAGACATCAGTGTTTGGATGGGACTCGGATGGTAGGAGGAGTGGTTACTCGCACAGAGAATTCGGCTGTTCTGGGCTTAGCCAGGGCGCAGGTGGCTTTCCATTGCTGGAATTGGTAAGGGATGGTGAGGGAAGTACTTGGGCCTTGCTTTCACTCAATTGGTGATGCAGGTTGCCAGAAATCTTTGAACAATACCACTGTTTGGGCACCTATCTTAGGAAGTCAACTCTTGATTAATTTTTTAAATTCAAATCAAACAAGCGACGGTGACACATCCTGGTGCCATTTCATACCATTCCTGACTCCTCAAGTGGCTGACGCCAGTTGTCTTCTCTGGCAGGGATTGCTAGCCCTGGCTTTGCAACAGTCCAAGGAGCTGCAGTTCTCCAGGGGAATTGCAAAATACTTCTAAATATTCTGAAAATGAAATTAAATATTCATTTCATTTTAATTTACAGATGCCATACTTTTAGAAGATGTCAGTACTGTGGAATGAGATGGCCAACCATCATATGTATGCTGCAACTCAGAGATACAGCTGTGAATTCTCTGAATACGGTACTGATGGCCCTGTCGTCCAATGCATCCAGTGTCTGATTTTCATCTTGGCCAGCTGTGAGCGTTAACCAAGACTTTTCTCTCTGTGTGCCTGTAAAAATTTTGTAGGTCCAGGATGGTTGGATATTATTTCATAAAGTCTTAGTCTAGTGAGTTCTAATAATTCTTGATCTTTTCCAAAGAAATACTGCTCGAGTATTCCCCAATAGCAAAGTAACTAAGCATCCACCTTTTCCAACTGTAATGCAGTTTTGGTATGAGAAAAGTATGTCTGGTCTCCGGGATTTAGAAGGTAAACATGGAACAATTAGAATGCGAGTGCCATGGTTGGGGAGGCGGATGTTCTGCACATCTGCATCCAGAGTGCCTCACTTCAAATTTCTTGGCCTTTTCGCTTCAGTGTTTCTTGGTATGTTGCCTGGGAAGTTAGATATGTTATTATAACACAGTGAGGAATTATGTAAGATGAAGCCCAACTTGCTTTTCTTTTTCCTTCCAGTTCTACTATGCCTTAGACAAAACTCAACCATTCTCTTCCATGATGTAGAATGGCTACTGAAAAGGAAGAAGAAAAGAAAGCTTTCAGAGGACAGTGGTAAACAAATGCATTATGATTTACTTAACAGGGAACTGTAAGTTTTTTTATGTCCAAGAACATCGAACTTGCTTTTTAAAAATACTTTCTAAAAATTTTCTTTTCCTTTGTTTCTTTTTCCCCCCCCAGAAGAGCTATAGAGGTGAGTTGTGTATTTTTTCTTCTGCTCTTTTTTTTTAATTGAAATATAATTAACATACAGTGTTATGTTAGTTTCAGGTGTACAATATAATGATGCAACACTTCTATACATTTCTCAGTGCTTATCATGATACTCTTAATCCCCTTTACCTACTTCACCCACCCCCCTACCCACCTTCCCTATGGCAACCACCAGTTTGTTCTCTGTTTTCAAGAGTCTGTTTTTTGTCTGTCTCTTTTTTTTCTTTATTCCTTTGTTTTGTTTCTTAGATCCCATATATGTGTGAAATCATATGGTATTTTTCTTTCTCTGACTTATTTCACTTAGCATTATACCTTCTACATCTATCCATGTTATAGCAGATGGCAAGATTTCATTTTTTTTTATAGCTGAGTATATTCCATTATATTATATGTACACACTGCATCTTCTTTTTCCATTCATCTATGAATGGACACTTGGGTTGCTTCCATATCTGGGCTACTGTAAATAATGCTGCAGTAAACATAAGAGTGCACGTATCTTTTCGAGTTAGTGTTTTCATTTTCTTTGAGTAAATACCAGGTAGCAGAATTATTGGATCATATGGCATTTATATTTTTAATTTTTTGATGAACATCCATATTGTTTTCCACGGTAGCTATACCAATTTGCATCCCTACCAACAGTGCATGAGGGTTCCTTTTTCTCCACATCCTCACTAACACTTGTTTCTTGTGTTTTGATTTTTAGTCGTTCTAACAAGTGTGAGGTGATAGATAGCTCATTGTAGTTTTAGTTTGCATTTCCCTGACGATGAATTATGTTGAGCATCTTTTCATGTATCTGTTGGCCACCTGTATGTCTTTGGAAAAATGTCTATTCAGGTCCTATGCCCCTTTTTAATTGGATTATTTGTTTTTTGGTGTTGAGTTGTAGGAGTTCTTTATATATTCTGGATACTAACCTCTTTTTGGATATATCATTTGCAAATATCTTTTACCATTCAATAGGTTGCCTTTTTGGTTTGTGGATCATTTCCTTTGCTGTGCAGAAGTTTTTTTGTCTTGGTGTAGTCCCAGTAGCTTAATTTTGCTTTTGTTTCCTTTGCCTATGGAGACATATCTAGAAAAATGCGTCTATGCCTGATGTCATAGAAATTACAGCCTATTTTTTCTTCCACGAGTTTTATGGTTTCAGTCTCACATTTAGGTCTTTAATCCACTTTAAGTTTATTTTTGTGTATAGTGTAAGAAAGTGGTCCCATTTCATTCTTTTGCATGTGGCTGTCCAGTTTCCCCAGCACCATTTGTTGATGAGAATATCTTTTCAACATTGAATATTCTTGCTTCTTTGGTTGTGGATTAATTGACCATATAAGTGTTGGTTCATTTCTGGGCTCTCTATTCTGTTCCATCCATCTATGTATATATTTTTGATCCAGTAACATTTTAAAAAGAATACTTGGATATGGTAACAACAACAAAAAATCAAACTGTAAAGAAAAGGACCAAACAAGAAGTAAATGTTCTGTTCTCCAATATCCTACCCCGACTGCTGAACCCACTGACATAAGAAACACTGTTAGCCATTTGTTTTATATCCCTCCTGAAGATGGCTATGCATATTACAAAGATGTCACAGACAACCACATGCTTTCTTTCTGTACAGGTTCTACAACTGGATTTTTTCCCTTCTTGTGTCTTAAACATCCTTACATATCAGTAAACATCTATATTTCAGTTTAAAAGACAATTATGAGCTTCAGAGTATTCCACTGAGTGAAAATACCATTAACTGTTTATACAATCTCTTTCTGGTCCACATTTGAATTGTTTTTAGATCACTACTATTGCAAACAATACTCTACTGAACGCCTTTGTAAATATATACTTGTGCGCAAAAGAAAATATATCTGCAGGGTAAACTTCTAAAAGTGGAATGACTAATTCTGACCTTACATATATTTACATATTGATAATTACCTCCTAATTTAGACCCCAACTTGTTAACCAGTGTAAACACTCAGCAGCAATGCATGCAAGTATGTTTCCCAACTGCTCCCATCGCTGGAAATTCGTTACCTCTGGGGTTCAGGGGAAGACTTTTACTTTTTGTTTTCATAGACGTCTGTAGTATATAGACATGACATAATGATGATGTTCCTTTTTGTAATTAAAAAAGATGAAAGAGATTAAGAACACTTGTTTGTAACTGTTTGGGGAATAAGATTCTACTTGCAAAGCAGAGCCCAGAATATGAGACCATTCATCAAAATAAGACCACAGAAGGGGACAGTCAGAGACAGAGCTCTGATAAGGGCAGGCTTACAGAGGGGAAGGGACTATGCCTTACCAGCTACCTACTGGGGAGCACCGGGGGAGGTAACCCTGTGCTAACAAGATCCAGCAGGCTAGAGATAGTTATAAATCTCTTACAGTGTTACTATCTCCCCACCCCCCATGAGATCGGGATGAGCCCTAGAATGAGAATTGATTTTTACAGGATACACTTACAAAGCAAGGAACAGTGGTCAAGCACTGCACTTAGTCCTCCTCTCTTGTACCCAAAGGACAATACAGTCTGCACTACTCCCTTTAAATTCTGCTAGACTAGAGTGCGCTCAATTCCTCTTTTTCTCACACAGACTGGAAAACTTGGATCTATGCCCACGTGTACACATTTTCTTTAGTATCCCACCCTCAGAATCATTACCGTAGAGAAGTGTTTCTGGGCAGGAATTCTTTGCAAAACAATATCCAGATTGGAGGGGAAAAAATCTGAGTCACAAGAATTTAAAGTCCTGTCTGGTCTGCTACAAGAGATGTTTCTGTAACGTCTGGTATCTCATATGCAATAGGCAAATAGGAAAATAATGTCAGTAAAACATGGAATTTGTGGAACTCAAGCATGACTATCCTGGGCAAGGACAGCGGGAATGACAGGAATGAAATGATAACCTTCCGTATGGAAGGAAAAACCTTTAGTGTGTCTGCTGCTAAGCAGTAGTTCTTTCCATCGTATTTTAAGGAATTTAAAAAGAAGTGCTTAATTGCTAATGGTAGTGCAAAATTGGGCAAGCCCAATGCAATGGAATTTGACAATTCTAGCATTTACCCTTGCTTATGGGCTGAATTGTGTCCCCTCCCAAATTCGTATGTTGACGTCTTCACGCTCAGTACTTCAAAATGCAATGGTGTTTACAGACAGGACCTTTAAAGAGGTAATTAAGGCAAGATTGGGTTGTATGGGTGCATCCTAACCCGATGTGACTGGTGTCCTTATTAGAAGGGAGATTTAGACATGGACATTACACAGTAAGAGGAAAGACCATGTGAGCACACAGCAAGCGGGTGGCTATCTGCAAGCCAAAGAAGAGAGGCCTCAGGAGAAACCAAATTTGCCAACACGTTGATTTGGGATCTCTAGTCTCGAAAACTGGGAAAAAATAAATTTCTGCAGTTTAAGCTACCCAATCTATAGTATTTTGCTATGGCAGCCCTAGCAAACTAATAAATAATTCTTGGACACATAAAAAGGAAACAACATAATGAAAATTATTCATTGTGATAATATTTATGATAGCAACAAAAATGGAAAGAACCTAATTTCCTTCCACTGGAGACTAGTCAACTATGGCATACGCACACAATGGGGTATGATGCAGCCATAAAAGACAGTGAGGAAGACGCTGTGACCTGATACGAAGTGATTTCCAGGATATGCTCTTATGTGAAAAACAGCAAGTACAACAGAGTGTACGTAATATACTAGTTTTTGTTGTTAGAAGGAAGGAAAATAAAAATATTTTTACAAAAAATAAACACAGGAAGGATAGATCCAAAACGATAGGCTACCCACCGTTAACCTAATGTAAGGTAAGGGGTAGGTAATGAGCTAGATTAAATAGGGATGGGGGTGCAGTATCCCTGGGTGGATCTTTGTATTTAGTTTGAATTTTTGAGTTATGTAAATGTGCTGCACATTAAAAAATAAATTAAACTGAAAAGACTCAAAGAAGCAAATCCTGAAATCAAAATAACTAGAAAAAAAAGTAAACCTAATCATTTCTCAAATTGGTAACATGACCATGCAGGTTAACAGAATTAAAGTAACTTTTGGACACAGTTATCTGAATGAGAGACAGCCTAAGGATCAAAAGATCAGCAGCAAACCTTGGAACTTAGTAGGTTTGCTGTTAGGATTGGCATTAGAGTACTGAAATTACCGTATTTGTATTGTGGGATAGAGCAAAAGAAAAAATCGTGTTGAGGGAGTTAGGAACTCGGGTCCTTCCTGTTTAGAATATATACACAGTGGGGAAAGGTGAGGGAGAACCCTGAAATTGGAGGGCGCCATGATGAATTCTGTGTCAGTAACAGTGGGCACACCTAGAAATTAGGTCTTGGTTTCTAAATACGATTCTTTACTCTCTTAAACAACAAGGCCCCCTGGGCAGATGGCCAATTCTAAGTTTGGAGCAGGGGAAGCGCAAGATGAGCCCCAAATATATAGTACCAGAAATCCAGGGCGTGTTCAAAGACTACAAAAGACATGTCTAGGGGCTGCTGGGTGGCTCAGTAGGTTACGCATCAGACTTCAGCTCGGGTCATGATCTCTGACAGCTCGGAGCCTGGAGCCTGCTTCGGATTCTGTGTCCCCCTCTCTCTCTGCCCCTCCCCCCTCCCCCACTCATGCTCTGTCTCTCTCTCTGTCTCAAAAATGAATAAGAATTAAAAAAAAAAAGACATGTCTAAAGGACACAGGAGCAGTCCTGAGGGGGCTGACATTAAAAGTCCCTATGTCCGTAGTGATACTAAAACAAAACAAAACAAAAAACAAAAGCAAGGGGAGGGAGGAAAGCTCTTCTTTACAGAAGAATGCCAACTAATATATATAGAAGGGATGATAAAATTTACACGTTTACCATTTGCAACCAGCAATACAATAATTGGTTCAGGTAAAGATCATCAGTAGTGGCTAGACTTACTGTGGGGATCATTTCACTGTATATACGTGTGTTGAATCATTATGTTGTACACCTGAAACTCATATGTTATATGTCAATTATATCTCAGTTTAAAAATAGAAGACCCCCCCCAAAAAAAGGATTGTCAATAGT